ATATGCTCCAAAAATACACACACTGAGAAAAACATAATGCATGAAGAGAATTCTCTTTGAGGTGCCTTTGCTTGTAGACTTCTCCCCTGCTCCAGTGTTTCACCATCTGCAGCTAGCTGAAACTCCAATAACTCCTTGATAAAGTTGCCCATCAATTGCTCTTTTTTGAAAGTTTTGAGTTTTCCAAGCATTTCCAAGTATTATCCATGTTCTTTTTCCTTCTCTTCTGCMWTAATTTTCATAAAATCTTTTTGCTTGTTTAACAGGTTAATACACGAATACTTAACAAGTGTAGGRAGAGGCTGCAATCTGATTCTCAACCTCAGCCCYGATAACCGAGGTTTAGTAGAAGATGAAGATCTAAAAGCATACCGGGAGCTTGGTAAAGGGATAGAACTTCTGTATAAATACCCGGTATCAACTTTAACTAGCCCAGTTCTAAGATTAAATCAGTCTTTTGCAATCAAACTGACATACTTTAGTCCCTTAAATGGATCTATTGTACTTATGGAAGACATAGAATTTTATGGGCAACTAGTTGAGAAGTATGAACTCCGTTATATATCTGATAACGGGGTTGTCAGTGAGACTGGAAGTTCTATTGGTCACAAACGAATACATCCTTTTCCCAGCTCACTAAGCAGTGCAATTATCRAKAGCATAGAGGTTACTATTATAAGTTTACTGACAAAAGACACAASTATTCGCTTGAGGGAGATGGCTGTGTATGACTGGACAGAAGCTGAAAATGCAGGTTATTTAGACCAAGATAGGATTTTTAATWGGAATGACACAACTACAGCACAAAGAAATCAAGCATGAAAGTGTTGCCTTTGTTTTGTTTTTRACTACTTTGATGTTTTTATRATGATACAATGCACCAATACTGAATTAMACAAAAATAAAAATGGATTTTGAAARTGGACTACTMAATTCTTCTGTCCATAYTCCCTTTAMTTATCATGGAAATTTCTCTTTGTTCCCTTGTTTACATGTAATTACAGAAATGCCACTATGCCTAACTTCACACTAAAAGTGTTTTTCCTATGTTAAACTTTGTACAGATAGTAAAAGATTTTTCAATAAGACAAGAATGAGGTTTTCAAATTCAAGATTGAGAAATAAGTTGAAAAACAAGATTAAGAATACAAATAGTAATAATTAGCATTTTGCTTTTGAGAATTAGCTTTTCTGAGAGACACGTAGCATTCTCCACACTTCCTTATGTCTGCCTGAATATGTGTCAATCTATGTGTGCCCTTGAGTGTAYTTGAGCATAAGTTRTGGAAATYAAACCTCACAATTTTCTAAAAAGAAGRGTTGGAAATTGTCCTTGAGAGACATTTGTRGAAGTGCTTTGCTTAGAATCCTTGTATGTTATGATAAAACCRTCAGAGCTCATCACAACTTCATTGCCTTGTTTACCCCTAAARGAAAACAAACCAACTATTTTAGCACTGATGGTGCAAACGTCACTTGGGTCAATTCTCAAYGGCTTGTCAATAGTAACAGTAAATCCATAATATAAATTGTCTATCATTTCTCTTTCKGTGACGTACTGCGAATACACTTCATGGGCGATTTGATTATTTTTGTARACAGTTAGCCCAACATCATATTCCGTTCCTTGCTTTCCAAAGCAGACAACTCCAACTAGATAAAGGGACTTGTTGATCGTGAAATGCAAGGCATCAGTAAACAGACCAAGAGATCTCACRATGTTACTCGTGAAATCTCCATCTTCAACGTGGTTGAATCGTAAGTTTGGGATCAAAAGATCACCCATGCAGCGTTGTTTAGTAATAAACGTTTTTGTTTCTGGAGAAACTTTATGRAATATTTGAAACAACTCTATTAGTTCAGTGTTTATMAGTATCTTGCAAGGTAGAACAATTTCAGCAAAGTCCTTGTGGGTCATCAGAGGGAATCTAATTTGTCTTATAACATCTAGTCCAAGGATGGCTCTCTTGACTTTGCCACTGTGAACCAAWCCCTTTTCCTCAATTCTTTTAGTAGCCCACTTATCAACTGCTTGGAAGATCTCAATTTCTTTGATATCAAGAATTTCTCTTTGAAGGATTTGACAAAGCAATTCTCGAGAAATATCCAAAAAGCCATTTGATGAAATGATTTGACTGGATTTCACTTCAACTATGCTCCAGAAATACTCTTGCAAGTTTTTATCGCCTATTTTCTGTATCAGAGGCAAAACGTTGAGCACATCTTCAGGTTTTAGGTCTAACTTCTTGAGGTATTTTCGACACTTTTCAACCAAAGATGGTATGATGAACTTGTCGGCAAGGTAAAGGACTTCCATTACATTTTCCTCTGTTAGGTTCACTTCGTCCGTATGAGCGAAACACATCATYTGATTCAAACCATCCTTCGTGCATTCTGGTAAGTCGATGACTGGTTTATTCACAGCAAGTTGGCCGTAAAACATGGCAGCAAAGAAAGGACTTGTCAGSGACAGCACGTATTTGTTGGCGGGGACTTGCACTTTGTTTCCGCCATTATCCACGACGGAAAACTCAACATCGCAGAACATTGAATTGTCAAAAGCGTATTTACTACGTTGTTTGAGAGTTGAGCAATCAGTTTGCCAGTTTGAGTGCTCCATTGATCTTTTTTTCTTTGATAAAAGAACGCTGTTGCACAAAAGCTGATTCAAAGCTTTTTTGAGAATGATAGCATCTGACAGGCGTTCCTTGAGATTGCACAGGAAGCCCGTTAGTTTTTGAATGTTCAAGCTTTCTTTTCCTTTCTTTTCCTTTCTTTTCCTTTCCTTTCTTTCTCTTTTTTCCTTTTCTTCAGTATTATATAAACTGAAGTTTATGAGCCTTTCAGATCAGACACAAAATACAAATAATGTAACATTGGTCTATGGCGTCTGCAATCTTTCGACAGCGGTAATACCCCCTAAGGCAAACAGATCCAAGATGGCGGCCACGTTGAGGTTGATGAACTTTTCACGAAGTCACGTATCCTTTTATGTTTCTTAAAGAATTGCTAAAACGTCAGGCATGATTTTATTAAAATAACAATATTTTTTCCTGATTTTTCTTAACATTTTTGTTTAGTTGTATTGTGGTTTGAGGAAATAYTCTTCGAAAGGCTTCCACCCTCAGTTACACGTGAGTAATCTTAACTTAAGCTTGTAGCTTAATTAAGCTTGTATTAAAATTATAAAGASTCTGGTTAAACGCATGTAACAGTATGTAATAGTCCATGTTTATAGTCAAATAGACGCAAACTAAAGCACTAGAATTAGAGCATGTTAAGGTTTCATATTCAAATTTCTGTTTCACGCGTTTTTAAAATGCTCTCACATTATTGTATCATAATTAGTGATCTTCATTAATAAAYTTATGCTAATCTGAGCTTTCAAAGATGGCTTAAACCGCGAAATAKTTAGAATGTCAGGGCCTTCTTAGTTGATATAGGTAACTCCTTGGTAGAAAGCTCAACATATTTTTTCTTCTAACACTGAAAAATGTGGCCCTCCTATACGCATGTAGACTATATAATATATAGACTATATGATATATTGAAGAAGCATACTTAACTATACTCTAATTGCATTGTTTCCTTTTGTGTCTATTTGACGATCACACTTTAAGAGTCAAATGTTGTTTCATGGGTTTAATGACTTCATTCTACTACACCCTGTAATACCAACTTATTCTTGACTGTTTAATTTTCTTTAATTAGTTTTCATTTCTTCATTGTATTCACCCAAAAAAAAACAATGACTTTCTCAAAACTGAGAACTATCTTCTAACATTTACATGCATGATTTYATTTTCAAGCTATTMGCCTTCAATTTAAGATAATACAATKTATRTKCTTATTTGCTGAAAAACAGCACCAAAAAAGAAAATTRAAATTCACTTGTTATTTTTACTTAGAGTGAATGATTTCAAGAAGAGTTATTTGTTGTTAATACTCTTAGTATAAATTTATCATCTTTATTTTCAATGCATACATATCTTTCATAATTCATTAGTCTGTCACTGTCAGTTCAAAATACCAGCTGATGAATGACACCTGTCAGTTRGAAACTGGTGGGACCAATAACAACTTTTTGGAAAAACCATTTTCCAGAAAAAAASCATGATGGGTCTTTTGCTGTGCTTACTTCCTTTTGAAGAAATCTCCCAAACAAGTGGGGGTGGGGAGGGGGGCACTGAATGAGTTATCTCAACAGAAGGCTTAAAATAGGCAAATTTATTAAAGAACATATGGTCTTAGAAAAGGTTGTCCACTATGGGTGCTTTCCATTTAGGAAGAACTGGCCGGACAGTCTGCTCTATTTAGAGGTATATTGTCGACATTTTTCAGCCATTTTGAGGTTTTCTATAGAATAATGGATAGAATTTGAAAATTTGAATTTCCTAACTAAATACATGTAGGAATGATATATAATGACATTTTCTCTGGGTCTGGTCAGCCAGTTCTGACAAATGGAAAGCACCCTACCTTACCCTACCAGCTTCATCTGACTTGTGTGTGTGCTGTTTTTCAATGCAAGATGTGCAATTTGTATTTTCTTTTTTACWTTTTGGTCACAGGAAGTGGTGATTGTCAGTGCAGCCAGGACTGCTGTTGGATCTTTTAGAAGCTCTCTTGTCAATATTCCTGCCACAAAGCTTGGTTCAATAGCAATCAAGAATGCYGTGGAAAGAGCAGGTACATTGCTATTAATGGCAGTTGTACTGTTTTTTGCTGGGTTTCAACTAAACAAATTACATTATCTTAAATATAAATAAAGCTGAAACAAATTCTGCAGGAGACAGGAAATAACATGTAAACAAGAAAAACTAGGAACACCATTTTGTTTAAAGAGTAAATGTATTTCTTGCATTTCTAGTGTACGAGTGGTTGTAAATTATCAGCCATTTGAGAAGGGAGAAATGCCACAAAAAATAATGGAAAGAGTTTCAGGAGGAAAACWTAAATAGCTATCTTTCTTAAACTCTTTCCATACATTTATTATTAGTACTCAATTCT